GAAAATGTGTTAATATCTTTGCTCCAGGTAATAACTTGTGGAATTGATCCTTTATTTAAATCTTCGAACTTAATTATATATAGATTTTTTTTAACTCTATTAACTTGATAGTATTGGTACTTTAAAATTCTAAATTAAAGACCCGATTCCATTAATCAGCCATAAGATAATAAATGCTTTTATATCTTTAATAATTGCTTTTTATTTTATAATTAGGTGCTGACATTACTGCTGCTGGAAATCTGTCTCCTACTGATTTATTATTATTATCAGGAACCAGTCAAGCAGCTCCTCATGGTTTGTAATTATAAATATTCTATCAAGCAAACATTTTTTTTTTACATATATTAGTATTCATCCTAAGCTTTCTATTAAATAGTTGCTGGAACAATTGCTTTGATTATTGCATCTAGCGGGAATAGATCTCCAGACAAAATGAAGGAATTCCTCGACAAATTATCGACAAAAAATGTAGTAAAAGGATTTATTGGAAGTGCTCCAAATAGATTTTTACGTGTTCCACATTCTTAATCCTTCTACTAAAAACTTTTGGAAATTACTCATTTTACTCTTATTTTCGTTAGATTGCAGCTTAGATGATAATCGATAGGCTACGCACCTCACCTGACGATCCGCATCTGTGATCTGAGGCAAGCGTTAGTCTGAGGCACAACATATATACTATACTATATACCATATACTATACTATATACTGCTTCTAGCTTCTAACTATTTGGCGCCGAATATTAGATTCATCAAGTATTAAGATTGTTCTTATGCAAGTTACAGTATAGTAAAAAATTATAACTAGTTATAACTCAGTTACGTTACGGCACATCCCAATGCTTCAAGTTCCACCCGCACCACTAATCACTGCTACGCTCCGGATCAAGGATCAATTTAAAAAAAAAGATGGTTTTGAATATGTTTTAATATTTTATTAGATAGGATGTGACAAAAATAAAAGAACTTAATTTATGTATGCAAACGGTAAAACAAATATAGTAAATAATCAAATAAAAATAATATATAAATAGTGAAAACAAGGGAAAAATAAGATGATTTTTTGTTATGAAAGATATTAATTACAGTTTAAGCAATAAATTTTTTATAAAAGGTTTCTAAATGCAAAGAAAATCTTAGGTTTCTTACATTAAAGATTATATTAATAAGGTAACTGCACGACGCTGTCGCGCGACACCAGGAACGTAAATTTATGAATGAGCCTGGTTCTAATAATTGCAAATCATATTCCACATGTGACGCAATTGTGAAGTGCATTCCTTAACCAATAATATAGTATTTTTCATAATTTTTCGCTTGCCATGTCTATATTCACAATCACTAATCAGGCAATAATTAGGTGATTATAATATTGGCATAATCTACACATTTAATATGCTGCAAGCCACAATAGATCACAAATCTACATACTATTGAAATTATGGATCACCTGCTGTTGAAATTACGTACAAATCTACCCTCTACTAAATAATAAACCTTCTATTAAAGTTACGAATCTATTCACTGTTAAATTGTTAAAATTGGATTTTCTGTAAAATAGTTTACTAATTATTTGATATAAAAGTTATGCATAATTTTTTGATAAAAAATCTGCCATATACAAAAATAAATGAGATTCGACATACTTTTAATCCCATTAGATATTGACCACCCAATGCTTTATGGTTTAAGTTTTCTACTAAACAATAAATGATTGAAGTTTAAATACAGTCAACTCTGCTTATACTGAATCCTCCGTAAAAATTTTCAAAAAGTTCAATTTAAAAGTTCACTAGGTCTATAAACTGATTTACTAATAAAATTTATAAATGTTTTAAAGCTTTGTGTTTTGCTACCACAAAGTTTATTAAGTATTCGGTTAACCAGCTTTAGTTTAGAGAGATATAACTGTATTTAACTAAGAATTGTTTTGAAAGTAAGACTGAACCAAGGTTAGAATTAAAATATTAATAACTGGTTTAATTGTTATCTGAGATCAGAGCAAATTAAACTTTAGGGATTCTAATAGTCCTGCCTGGTCCAATCTGATCACTTTAGTCCACTTTTAATAGTTCAAAGTGTTAAAAATTAACTGGTCTTAAAACTAAAAGCATATTTTTTTTTTCTGTCTTAAACCGGATTTAAGACTAACTGCGATTTATCAGTTTAGAATAGACTGCATAACATCCCCTGTTAAAAAAACTGGATTGTTGCACAGAATCGGACATTGCGTAATGTATCCCGTGCCGAAATAATATTAAGTATGGCATGGGTGAGCAGATCAGTATATTACAGACCAAAATTAAATACCATACTATACTGATCAGCTATAATTCCTAATTCTAACGGTAATA